GCTGCTCCTTGCGCCCCGCGCCCCGCGCCCCGCGCCCCGCTTCGACCCCTGCTCTCGTACAGCTCAATCGCCACTGGGCGCCACATGGCCCGTCCACTTGACAAGTGATTTACAGTTTCAAATTATAAATTTGAACCAGAACGCTCTGAAATATGAAACGGCTTGTTTTTGGCGTACGCAGAAAATCCTGATTTGGCTGTGTCCGAATTCACCAATGTGTCACTCGTGTCGTGGAGTAGCGCGAGTAGCCTATCCGGCCAATCACGGCGCCAAGCGTGTGCGTGCTTCAACAGCCGCAGCTGCGGCCGTGACAGGCGCCTGTCATGGGGAGGGTAGGCCAGCCCGCACATCAAGTGTGCTGCACTGCTGCCTACCACTCGGACTGCAGGCGCGAGGGTACAATTCCGTTGCGGCGGGGTTTAAAATTGTGGTGCCTCGTTCTGACAGATTTCTACTTTACTGAGCTGACCGACTTCAACCGCACTCTCTCTGAGGTGGTGGCCAAGGCCGTGGCTGACGTCCTCGCTACCAGCGTGGGACAATTGGGCGCACCCGCCCGCCGCGCCCCGACCGCCACGGCCACGGTCGCCACCCAGATCGAAGACACTTCGGTGTCAGGGGGTCTCAGACTGGCGAGCTGCATTTCACTATCGCGGATGATGACTTTGGCTGTGCCCTGACAAGCTCTATTGTAGTGCTGTTCGCACCGTAAATACACCTCCCCTTGTCCCTCATTGTGAGCGTATTCAAACTGATTATTACAATGATAATAAAACCCATCCCCATTGAAGTATATGTTACTCCCTTCTTTTTTACCCCTGATAGTTTGAACCACCATGATAGAAACTGATAGACACTGATAACACACGAAATTCACTGAAACCACACGCACACGAGAAGTTGATGACTTCAGCAATGGCGGTGTGAAGCGTGAGTCAGCACTGTCAGGTGAGGTCGCGCGCACTAGAACATTAGAGGCCGGGAGTCATGCGATGCCCCCACCCCTCTTCCCCTCTCAGTACTAGAACGGTTGAGCACACGGGCGACTTTGGGATCGGGCGGTTCGGCTGTCTGCGCGATGTTGTGATTGTGAAGACCGCGGCGTGAAGGGTGATACGGGGGCGCACGGGCTACCGGTAGGTACTAGGTACTTAATGGAAATTAATGGAAATTAAAAAGGGATTTTTGTTAAAAAAAATTGTGGGGTAGCATGTGGGTGTACGGTGCCGGCGATTTTTGCACGATGGACTGGTCGGAGTTTGACGGGTTCTTGTTTCTTCGAGGCGGACTAGTGTGAGGGGTTACCGCGGTGAAGCCCAAGTGTGTACTTAAATGCAGTATTTACCGAATACCCAGTATGTATGCGGTTTTTTTCTGATTACAGATGTACTCGGCAAATAATGCATACGTAGGGGGTATTCAGTAAATACTGCATTCGAAAAACGCCTGGGTTTCTAGAGTATTGTTAGGGTTCTGTGGAAATGATTTTACTAACTTGTTTTATTATACATTATTTTCTTTACCGGCAGGTAGGTGCAACGATGGGGGCCGCTTGGAAGGAAAGATGATGCTTGAAAGATACTAGGAACAAATCAAACTTGAAGCAGGATTTTAGGTAAGAATCGTACTTAATTCTAAGTTTTACTTCTCCGATACACAAAATTAAAGGCGAAGCTTATTATTTGCTTTACTGACGTTGTTGTTCTTCATTTTAGATGTATCATTATTACCATTGCTCTCAAGCTCCATATCCTTTTCCCCCGCTACCAGCATCAGTGGTATATTTGAGTTGAGCATTTCAGCATGGAACACTTGTTTATCATCATGACCACCAATGTTATGAAGGACCCTACGCTCAACCGGCTTTCTTCAAATTGCAGTACATCGGGACTCAGTACTTCGGAACCCTGTTCAAGTTACAACTGCAATAGACGCATCAAACCACGTTGAAATTTTTTCACCATCTTTCCTTTCATTGTACATAGTGTTAATGTTTGTTTATATCCACTATTTTGAAGTTTTTAAGATAATGTATACTTACTGTTCTGTCCTCTCTTCTATTTTTTTTTGTAAAATGTTGCAGGAGGTGTTGTACAGTGTACACTGTATAGTGTTTGTATATAGCTTAGTGGTTTGTATTGTGCAATATTTTAAGTGTATAGTGTAGTATTGTGTTGAAAGTTTCCAAGTGATGGAGCAAGATCTGACAGCAGTCTTTCAGATGATTTTGAACAACCTAAAAGAAAACCGGTTCAGGCTCTGCTGACCACTGATCAAAGTGATGCTACATCCGCATCAGCAGAGCCCTAGGACATTTGTGTGTCAGTTCTGCTCATCAGTTTTCACCACGAAGAGCAATTGTACTCGACATGAAAGTTACTGTATTTCTGGAAGTCAGAGGGGCTCATCCAAACTTTTGTGTGATAACTGTCATAAGACATTCACCAGAAAAGAAAGCCCATTTGAAGAAATGTTCCCCTGAGGCTCCTGCAGCTAGAATTCAGAAGAAAACTCCATGTTTGATTAAAGATTGCGACTTAGAGTTTTGCCACAAAGTGTCTTTAATTGATCATTTGGCTTCTCATCACCAGCAGGATATTACTATTAAACCGGTTGTGAGCAAAACGTTTCCATCCATTAAAGATTTCAATCAATGGAAAGAAAAAGAAGAGCAAGACACTTTCTCCTATTTTACATCTAGGAAAGGACAAGCCTCAAGTACGACCAAGTATTTTTACTGTCAACGTGATGGGTCAGCAAAATTGCATTCCAAACGGATTACAAGTAGGTGTAACAAGAAAGGGAGAATTAAGGTTGGGCATATCTGCATTGCCAAAATGACAGTTCGAGTTGAAAGCAAAGCAGTTCATTTGGAATATTATCCGACCCACAGCCATGCCTGTAAAAGAGAAGATATATATCATCACCCTCTTCCAGATGCAATGTCAAGATTCATTGATGAGAAGCTTGCTAAAAAAATTCCCGCTACTGTGGTTTATGAGCTCACTAAAGATAGATTTTTGCCTAAGAATGTTCCCCACATCCATGATACCAAAGCTAGTATTCTTACCAAGAATTCTATTCTTATTTACAAGCCTTATAAAAGGAAACTGGTTCATGGACCTCCTGAAATTGATAAGCTTCCTAATTCTGACGAATTATTTATGTTTGCCTTTCAAACAGAGAGGCAACCAGATTTGATGAAGAGACATTGCTCCAAAATTCTGGTTGTTGATGAGACCCATGGTACAAATCAATATAAATACCAACTATTAACTGTCATAGTAATTGATGATGATCGTAGAGGCTGGCCTGTGGCTCATCTCATAACCAGTAAATCAGATCATCATACCTTGCAGTATTTGTTCAAAGCCCTTAAATCTCGGATAGGTGAAGAAGTAAGTGTAAACTGTGTCATAACTGATGATGACCCGGCTCTTATTAACGCTATGAGTCTAGGATTTGCTGTGCCTTTAACACATTTATTGTGTAAATGGCATGTCATCAAAAACTTGAAAGACAATTTGAGATCTAAGGCACCCAGTGAATTATTTGAGCCAATCTTTTCAGAAATTAAAGTTATAATGAATGCTGAAGAGGAGAATATGTTTCTGAAGCTTAAGGCTGGTTTTATAAACAAATATAGCAATAATCCGGCAGCCTCTGTGTACATGGCATATTTAAAAAAACACTACTGGAAAAAAGAAAAGAAATGGGCTATGTGCTACAGAAATTTCCCACATGCTGGAGTTAATACAACTGGGCACATTGAGTCTTTCCACAGCAGACTCAAGAGAACTTATCTGAAGAGGAAAGTCAACAAGAGACTTGATGATCTGATCAACATTCTCTATGATGTGGAGTGGGATGACCACTGTCGGCGCATTAGAGAAGCCACTGCTGGACATAAAATGGAAGATCAAAGTGGTGCACAGTCCCGCTCAGACTGACTCACAGAATTGTGGCCCATACATTTGTCAGTATCCTCAAAAATTGTTCAACCTAATTTGCACTTTGAGTCTCCCCTTGAAGTAAGGAAGTATATATACAACATCATAGTTGGCAAGTGTATGAGACGGATGCATTACATCTCTGAATATTGTGGAAAGTGCAATTTAGAATACGATAAATCTGATTCCACTCAGCATTGGATTTGCTGCTCATCTTGTCAACAATGGTTTCATGAATCCTGCACTACTGTTGATGTTGGGGACGCGTCAAAGCCTTTTGTTTGCATTTAAAATGTATTACTTATTTTTAAGTGTTTATTATGTATGTTTTGCTGCATGTGTAACATTTTCCCTACTTAATTATCCAAAAGCATTTTGTGTAAGATCATTTATCTGCTGTTTAATTATTTTAGTGCAGAACCAAATTTCAAAGATTTGTTGGTTCTGATTACTTGAAATGCCCTCTGTGATTACCTACTCTTCAATAAGTTTCATTGTTGCACGTCAAGTTCTCTTTTGGGTAAAAATAATATTTTATTACCTATTCTTAAGTGTTTATGCATTGTTAGTGGAATATCAATGTTTAGTATTTTTCGTTGTATGCACCGTTCATTTGCTCCATTAAAGAGCCTTTTTTAAAACAACAAAAAACTGTTTTAAAGATCAATAAATGTTTTTTATGTTTCCCACTCAATCTTTCATTGCAGCTAAACCGCCCCGTCCCTACCGTAAAAACGCAAGTTACGATTTAATGATAGAAAACCAACTTTTCCCTACAAATTCCGCTATTTTACCAAATTTCTTTAAAATTACATAGTACCAAATTTCTTTAAAATTACATAGTACCAAATTTCTTTAAAATTACATAAGGGGGTGCCCGTCATCCCCCCTGTCCCAAATCAACCCATCAAACCGCCCCCAGCGCCCAGCCTCGGCCGTCGCCCCATCCGGCGGCCTCGCAGACCGCCAACGCCAAACCGCCCGATCCCAAAGTCGCCCGTGTGCTCAACCGAGTACTAGAACACCAGAGGCTGTGCGTCATGCGCTGCCCCCCCCCCCCTAACTCCCTCAGCACTAGACTGATGGTAGCGAGTCTAGGGCTAAGGCGAACCTCCCTCTCCCCACAACGTCTGGTACCGACCACTAGTGCCACCGGCCCGAGTGTACACCATTACGGAACATTGCACCGCTGGGCACCTTGTCGCCACCGCGTTATTGCCGCGAGGGCCTTCCCTTCCCCGCTTTCCCTGGTGCACCACTTTACCTCCCCTCGCCAGCCGCTCCCCCCCTCCGTGTCGCTTAACTATTTTTATTCTAGCGGCCGCGTTTCTAAAGTACGACATAAGTATTTACCATTAATAAATGCTGGGCGTTCAGATGGTTTTAGGAGCCACAAGTACGAACTTAAAATGTGCTTAGGAATAGTTTCTGAGCCAGTTAAAATATGGAAAAATATGGACACTCCATAGTTCGAATGACCCGCGAAAGTTAAGCGACACGGCGGGGGGATGAGGTAGCTCGAGCGGGTGGGTGGGGTAGGTGGTGGGGGAACCTCACTTTCAGCGTCTATGGACCGAATGCGTCGCGGACTAGTGGGAGAATTACTTCGCGTGCGCTTCCGCTTAAATACGGTAGTTTTCTTTACACCAGGCGTGGATGAGAGACTGCGCCTCGGCCCAGGCGCATTCGGTATGAGAGAGCGCCTTCGATTCGGACCCGCCGTCAGCGCCTCCTTTTTAAGCGTTGGCGAAGCAGCCGAAGGCCGGGGATCATAGATTTCTTACGTGGTGCGACCCTTGCAATCTTGGTCGGTTTGGGGGCTGGCAAAGTGGGCTTATCACTGGTAAAACAAGTGTGCAATATTTGCACACCAACGTGTGCAAGTTGTGATTTTGCACATTACATGGTGTTTAACTCAAGTTGCACACTTGCGTGGTGTGCAAATTGTAGACGTTTTGTAAACGTTTAAATTCTGCACACTTGGGCACACACAGTTGTATGCTGTCAATAGGGAACCATACGGTGTACAGCTGCTACACGTTTCGGAAGTGTCGAAATTTTAAACACCAATTCACGTATAACAAAGTTAGACACCACAAAGTGTCGAGAAAATGTACACTTGAACTTAAACGTCAATTGACGTGCAAAATTAAACACTTGTTTTACCAGTGATGTACTTCTGGAGGGTTCGAAACCTCTCGAAACCTTTTAGGGGGTGGAGATGGAGGGGTTGGGGGCACCACAGCCGGGCCGCCCGCACTGGCCTTTACACGCTCCAAGGTGTGAGTAAGGTCTCGCAAAAGTTTGGAATACTGACGATACTTTGTGTGCGGATCGTTTGCAATCACGTCGGCCAGGGTGTTGGAACGCCTGTTTTTTCCGCGCCTGCCTTCTGCTAGGTGACGCTGCTTTGACTTTTCTAAACGATTTATTTTGGGACCAATAAATGGGTCCTGGGCATCGATAATGCCACCACCCTCCTGCTTACATTTCGTTAAACTATCCATTTGAGCCCCGTCTAAAATAAAATATTTATTCATCGCGCTACAAGAGTTTACCAATCAACCCACTGAGAACACTGCCGAGCAGTGGAATTAAAAAACCACCCTTTTGAGATAAAATCTTCTTCTTTTTTTTAATTGGAACACTTCGGTTTGTGGGGGCCAACTGACGCAGCTCGCCCTTATACTTGGTGAGAAGTTTTTTGCACTGCGGAGATATTGCTTGGTTACCATTCAACACATTCAGAGAGCACTCGGACAATGTGGTCATCAGCTGTTTATCGGCAGTATTTATAATGGCAGCTCGCATTTTTGGCGATGCTTTTGTAAGAGCGCGCAGGATGGGGGCATGACGGCGAAGCCTCTTTTTAGGGCAGCCCGTCTTGGCCATGGCTGGAAAGGGCGCCTAGCTGATCTTCCGTACAGAAAAATTGCCCGGCAGCGTCGTCCAGGAAGATGCTATTCCTAATGCGAAAGGGGGCTGCTTCGGTCTGAGACGCGGGGTGGCAGTCGACAACTAAATAATTATATGCCTTGTTCACAACCTCTCTTTCAAATACGTCGCGAAGCTGACGCCAGCGCTTGGGATCGACTTGCCTCCAGAATATATCGACCTGACTTCTGTCGCGGGGCGAACGGAACAGGACGAAATAATGCGCGTTGACGGAAACACTTTTAAAATTCCTACCAGGGGTGAAAATATTGTTCAGGATTCGAACCAGACTTTGCGACAAGTGGTGTGTGCCCATAATCGCCGCTTTACATATAGCATCGCTGTTGGCCGCCTCCTTTGAACAGTCATCACAGATTATCAAACTATTGCGGGGAAACACAGAGAGGGAGGAGGGAAGGCCGCGGTGAAATCGAATGCCCTTTACATCCTTCAACTCGTCTCGCGGAACAGAGATCTCGCCCGCCTCGTAACACCAAATAATTGCGTCAAACTTATTTCTATACACATATTCAGAGTGCTTAACTAGACGTATACAAAAGATAGACTTCCCACTCATACTAGCGCTAAAGAGGACGCTACTGCTAGGATGTTTAGAACCGGTTGGGTTGGACATGTTGGGCCGTCTGATTGTTGAAACACCCACCGACACATATACCTTTAATCCATTTTCAGCAGATGACAACTCAGAGTTTTGGCTGCTTGTACAACGGCTATTAGAGCTATTTCTTTGCGGTCTTGAAATTAGCTGAGCGGCAGCGAATGCTATTATTGGCCAAATTCAGCTCATTATTGGCTCAGCGAGACTATTATTGGCCGGATGTAGCTTATTATTGGATGCCGGATTTAGCTTATTCCTAGCTGGGCGAAACGTATTATTGGCCGAATTTGGCTTATTATTGGGTTAGCGAAGGCTATTATTAGCTGAATTTAGCTTGCTATTGGCTGAGCGAAGACTATTATTGGCCGAATTTGGCT